AGTTTGGTCTCTCTAGGTCCTCGTTGTACTCGCAGCTTAGACCAGTGAGGTATTCAAACTATAACAGTGAAAACTTCAAATGTTGGGTACCAACGAGACTCCACAGCTCATACTTCTTCTTTATGTCGAGCTGGAAACCGAGTATGTAGTGAACCAGCCTTGAAGCCCAATCAAATTCCAGCTTTTGGAACTTGATGAAAACTCCCAACTTAGACTCTTTCAGCTCTTCATATTCGTCATCATGAAGATCATTCCTTAAAGCAGTATACAACTTCATAGACGGATGATACGAAATGTTATTCAGTGCGGGGGGCTCTTGCCCTACTGTATGTATCCTACGAGGAAGTTCTGGAATATCCATTTTTTCTGCAAAACAATCAAAGAAAACCATCTCAAACACACAAACATCCAGTAACATTTTAATTATAAGTCTGGAAGACTTTCCAGATGACTAATTATAGTTAAGTCGTCTGGCAAATCTTCCAAGACTTCCAGTAGAACATTGTAAAGCCGACCTGAAAATTCGGAGAAGATATAGTCGCCTTCGACACATCGGTTATAGACGTGCAAAAATAAACGTGAAAAAAATGAGAACGACGGTGAGAATGATGTTTTATATTCTTCTTTTCCTCAATCAATCACTCGATAGTAAGAGATATAACACCTCTAAGAGAAACGATGCTAGGGTCTACAGAGAAACGGCGCTAGAGTTTCCTCTCAGATCTGAAATAGAGGAAGCGGCGGTGAGAACGGTGGTGACAACGACAGTGATAACGGCGGAGAGATAACTGGCGAAGAGAACAATGGATTAGAGAGATTCGACGGAAATCTCCTTTGAAATCACCTTTGAGAGAAACGGCGTTAGTGTTTTCTGAATTTTGCTAAAAAATGAGTAAAAAAAACATCTTATATATGTCGAGTAAAAATCCGGTTAGGTATAAAAGTAAATTGGAAAAATCAAAAGTTCAGTCCGGTTTGGACGACTTATTAGTAAGTCGTCTGTTGAATACTATACATCAGACGACTTACTAGTAAGTCGTCTGCCTAAATATATTTACTAGACGACTTAATAGTAAGTCGTCTAGACCCTAAACCCTAAACCCTAAACTAAATTGACTAAATTAACTAACTAACCAGGTTATAAAATCAAATTATACTTAAATAGTGTTTACTATACACAAAAATAAACACACTTAGGTAAATTTTAAATTTTTCAAAAAAAAACAGTTATGCTTTCGAAAATCTAACACTAAGAAACACATACAATACCACAACATATGTTGACAAAACCTAAACCAAAGAATATCATGACTCACTACTTTCACTCATCTATGTTGAAAAAAATTAAATATTGTTATATCTTAATGTATATCTCTTAAAACATATGTTAATTACATGATTTTAATTTTTCACTTATCAAAATATTTTTTACAAATTCTTTTTAAGAATAACTATACTAGATGACTTTCAACTAAGTCGTCCAGACAACTTAATTGAAAGTAGTCTGGACAGAATAGTTGCGGGGGTTAGAAACATACAAAAAATTCGGGTTTTTTGTTTGTTTACAAGGTACTGGTTGTAATTTCAATAGTTTTTTAGGTTACTTTTACATTTGATTCATGTTTGGGTTTACTTTTGCATTTGAAATCAAGTTTTGAGTCATATTTGGCAAATTTCCCCAACAATATTTAACAATCAAGTTTTCGTTGATTTCTAAAAATAGATTGGTTTCCTTTTTCTTTCTTGTTTGATTGTAGACATTGAGTTTTCCGTATTTAAAAAAACATTGCTTTCTCCACAGAAAATAAAAAAAAACTTCTTTAAAAATTTATTAATAGATTTATTAGTTTAATAATACACAAAATCACTACAAAAATCTTACAGCTACAGCAAAAAAAAAAAAAACCTTAATTATACAACAAATAATTAAAATCACAATTTCAACCAATCAAATTCCATGTCTATGTTTATGCAGTTCACCCTCTTCCTATATATTTAATAGTATTACTAGATGATATCGGCGCCCATGCACAGGGTAAGTTTTTTATATTAATGTTTGTTCGGTTTTAACATTTTGTAAGACTATAATCTTTATTGATTGTAAAATGACGAATACAAATGTTGATCTCTTAAATATATCATATGTTTGGGTGTTCGGAGGTTCGTTGGTTTCAGTTCGATTGATTCGGATTTTCAAATTTTCGGCATTATGCTCATCAGTGTCATTCGGGTTTTTCTATTTATCGGATTGGATTTAGTTCGATTCTTTCCAGATTCGGTTTAAATCAGAATGTAACCAAAATCTAAAATCGTCCCAAATAATATTTTTGAAACCTCAAAATTGATAAAATATATCAAAATATTTAAATTGTTCATAAATATATTTTAAAATTAGTTAAACTATCTAAACTAACTAAACGATATTCAAAATAAAAAAAAATAAGAAAAACTACAAAAATATTTTGAATACATTAAAATATCTAAATTACCTTGACATATAATAATCATTAACATATTACATTAATTTCAGATATCTTCGGACTTAGTTTGGACTTCGGTTCGATTCGGATTATAATCAAATTTCAAAGTATTAAGATCATATTAATCTTCTTCGAATAAATTATAATAGCTAGATTGAGTATTATGGAGAAACAAGAATTAGATGAATGATTAAATCTCTCATTCTTTAAACAAAATCAAAAGAAGGTGATTGGATCTTGTCATGATATTTCATTAAAAGCTTCTTAAGAATATATATCACGACTAAATTATTTAATTTGAATAAAATAATATATAAATATATATAGTGTTTCCAACGTTAAAAATCATTTTGATTTGAAGAAGTGTAGTTCCCCGATTGTTAGGATCAAATAATATATTAGAAATTAATTATTTAAAATTAATTTGTATACATGAAAGTATATACATTAGAGTAAACACATAAATCAAAACTAATACATTTTGTCAATTTAAAATATTGTTTTTGGTAAATAAGTCAAAACAACCATTTTATTTACTTTTTATGGTATATAATTAAATTTTATTGATATATATATATATATATTTTTTAATTTATATTTATTATTGACACTTCCTGTTCATATAATTTTATTAACATTTGTATATTTTTATCTAACAAATATTTGAATAAATCACAAAAAAATAAGGTGAGATTCTTCCAATAGGAATTTCAAAACTAAAATATAAAACCTCCATAAATTTTCACTGCAAATTTTGAAATTAACATATTTAAATATTTTATATAGTAGATAATTTAATTTTAATTATATTGATATATATATATATATATATAAATATATATATGTGTGTGTGTGAATATTTATTATGGGATTTCATATTCATATGATTTATAATCATTTGTATCTTACCTGAACAAAAAAAAGTTAAACCATTGATCAAAAATTTTCATGGCAGGACTTTTACTATTTTTAGTAATTTGTAGTCGTTTCAACATATAAGAAAAAATCTATTTTTTATTATATGTTTGATGTGATTGTTTAATTATTTATAAAAATTAAAATTAAACAAAAAAGACCAAAATTATTACTGAATATGTATTATCCATAATCATTAATTATCATATATATATGTTAATCATATTAAGTAATTTCGTAGATTTTATTCAAGGAAATAAGGAATATTCTTTTCTACACTAATAATTAATTTGATACTTAGTTTAATAATAAAAAATATAATATATAAGTATATGGACCAACTGATTTTTCTAAAGTATCTAAGAATTGTTCTGGTGATGACACGTGTCTACAAAAACATGTTGTAATACTCCAAAATTAATATATTGGCATTATGGGATTATTAAGGGAAATTACACCATTTATACCTTTAAAACATAAAATTCTATTCTCTTTCATATTCTTTGGGTCCGATTGGTAATAGATGTAGCTTTAAAATTTTTGCTATAGAAAAAAAGCTATAAACATTTTGATGTAGTTTTAGATTTTATTGCTGAAGATTTTAGAGAAAGCTCAAAAAAATTGTTTTGAACATTTGGTTCTAGAAAGCACTTATACATCTGTAAGTTATTTCAGAAGCTGTAATTTTTAAAAAATCATTAAAACTTAATTATTGTGAATTTGGTGTTTTAGGAATACATCATGTTCAGCCATTACCAATCACACCCTTTCCTCTCATTTCTCTTTATTCTCTCTCCCGAAATTTAATTTGTCATTTTTTCCTTGGTTATTTGGTAAACAAACCTTATTATTAAACGTTCGCAATTGTGTGTATGGTTACTTTCATTGATACCTTTCTTTTGGTTCAGTTCAATATTTGAGATGCCATAAGAGAATGTTTCGACTCATTTTATATTCGGGTTCGAGATCAAAAGAAAGTTGACTAATTTGGTTTGTACATTTTCACAGATTCTTTTGTTGGAATCGGTCTTCCACTCTGCCTTATAGTTATCTGAACTTGAATTTAATATTTCACAGCTATTATTTGTCTATCACCTATTTTTAATCATTCTTTAAGTAGTTATTAACAAATATATTAGTTTCATACTCAAATCATCAAAAAAAAATCAATCGTTTTTTATTGTCATGTATAAGCTGATTTAGAAATATCTGACTAATCGGTTATACAATTTTTTGTTTTTATTTCTGGTGTTTTGGTTTATGATAGTTTTTTTTTTTTGAACACATGGTTTATGATAGTTATATCTTAAACTAATCGAATAAATTGTTGTAATTTTGAGAAGACGATACAAATGATTTCAAAAGAAATAGGTTTTAGATTTATTCTTCCCGGTTGGGTATACAATGCGGATATAATGTCGGTTTGGTTTGGTTTGGATAGAAAGCCTAAACCGGGCGACTAGGTAAGCAAATCCAAGGGCCCAGACTGAATACTTTTGGATCATCGGTAGTGCTGGGTGGAATGTCACAAAAAAGAATACAATTAGACGTGAAGGTACATAATGACGAGTATATCCTTGACGCGGGACGCCGCTTCCTGAGCTAAAAGAATCATCATCTATCAGAGCTCTTCCCCTTCAATCTCTCTTTCCTTCTCCTCGCGCTTTACAACTTGTTCTTTCGTGTTGAATACACACATCGAGAATCGAATTGAATTGAAATATTCTTCGCTTTGATCTCTTTCCATCAAAGATTCCAACCTGGTACTTGCTTCTTCTTTCTGTATCGATTCGTTTCAAAAAACGACATCTGTTTGAATATATTGAAATTTCATCAGCTAGGTCAATGTGATTAGTTTCTCGTGATCTCGATTATTATATCTTCTTTCGTGCATGTGAGCTGGGTTTGGGATTATGTATTGTACTTTTATGGCGTATCAATCCATGGTCAATGCTTAGCTTTTTGCTTCGTTTTACAGATTTATTTTTCAAAAAAAATCTGTAAAGCTTGAATCTTTTTGGAAGCTAATCATATTATTTTCGTTTTGACTTTTTTTTTTTGTTAGGATTGTTGCATCATACTTTATATCATAGTCTCTTACCGATCCTTGTTCTGTAGCTATTGGTTGTTTAGAGAATTTCATTTCAGATTCTGTAAGGACTTATTAAAGGCTCCCCTCGTTGCTTTTGTTTGGATTTTTAGATGGAACATGAGCAAGATGATGACCCTGGTTCAGCAACATATGGTGGGGTTGTGAATAACAACAGCAGTCATATAGATAGCGCTGATGGTTCAGGAAGCAACGAGCATCCCAACATTTATCGACAAGATATTGTCAGAAACAACAAAACGGGTTGTATTGGGGTTGTGAGCGAAGTTGCTGGTGATTCTGACTCTGAAAGTGGCACTAGTGATGACGATGATGACGACGATGATGAAGAAGATGATGACGGCGATGATGCAGATGAAGAGGAAGGGGAAAAGGAAAATGCTGGTCATGGAGATGGAAATGCTGCTGGAGATCTTAGCGAGAAAAAAACTGATGGGAACTACAAATGTGGTACTCTTGAGGGTGATCAGATTCGTGTTCTATGGATGGATGACACCGAGCCAGTTCAAGATGTTAACAATGTAACAGTTGTAGATCGTGGTTTCTTACATGGAGATTATGTTGCTTCAGCTTCTGACCCAACTGGCCAGGTGGGAGTAGTTGTGGATGTAGACATGTCAGTGGATTTATTGGCTCTGGATGGTTCTATCCACAAGGACATCCCAACAAAAGAACTGAAACGTGTCAGAGATTTTGCTGTTGGTGATTATGTGGTTCACGGCCCCTGGCTAGGTAGGATTGATGATGTGTTGGATAATGTGACTGTGTTGTTTGATGATGGATCCATGTGTAGAGTCCTACGTGCTGAACCCCATCAACTAAAACCTGTTTCCAAGAGTAACCTTGAAGAAGATGCAAACTTTCCATATTACCCAGGCCAGCGTGTCAAAGCAAGCTCCTCGTCAGTTTTTAAGAGTTCCCGGTGGTTATCTGGATTGTGGAAGCCCAATCGCTTAGAAGGTACTGTGACCAAAGTCACCGCTGGATCTATTTTTGTCTACTGGATAGCCTCAGCTGGCTTTGGGCCAGATTCTTCTTCTTCCCCACCTGAGGAGCAGAGTCCAAGTAACTTAACATTGTTGTCATCTTTCACCCATGCCAACTGGCAAGTTGGTGACTGGGGACTTCTTCCATCGGTGAATCAACCTGCTAAAATTCCCTTGCACAAGCATGTATCTAAATTACGAATTTTTGATTCTCAAGCAAAAGATGCAGATCAGCAACAGAAAAGTGGGTCCGATTTAGAAGATGAAGTAAGCGAAAAAACTGAGTCTGTTGGCAATACTGCTAAAGCTTTATCAAAAGAAACCAGTGTTTCTTCTACTTCTAAGGAGCCTACTCATGAACCTTGGCCTCTCCATCGTAAGAAGATACGCAAACTTGTTATCAGAAAGGACAAAAAGGTAAAGAAAAAAGAGGAAAACTTTGAACGAGCTCTATTGATAGTTAAAAGCAGAACGCTTGTTGATGTAGCCTGGCAGGATGGTACAGTTGAATGTAGAAGGGAAGCAACAACATTGATTCCAGTTGAGACCCCTGGTGATCATGAATTTGTCGCTGAGCAATATGTGGTGGAGAAGGCTTCAGATGATGATGATAACACAACTGAACCTAAGCGTGTTGGGGTTGTTAAAAGTGTCAATGCAAAAGAACGTACTGCTACTGTGAGATGGTTGAAGCCACGTCTAATGGCAGAAGAACCCCGTGAGTTTGACCAGGAAGAAATTGCAAGTGTTTATGAACTAGAGGTCCATCCTGATTATGACTACTGTTATGGGGATATTGTTGTTCGACTATCACCTGTTGCCACGGCATTACCAACATCATCTGCTGGAAACTCTTCAGAAGAGCCAACAGACCAAGACAACGGACACAAAGTTACAGAAAATCATCAAGAAGCTATAGTCCATGATAAGGAAGAAAACAAAGTTGTTACAAACCTTTCAGAGCTCTCATGGGTTGGAAATATTACTGGCCTAAAGGATGGTGATATTGAAGTAACATGGGCTGATGGAATGGTATCAACGGTATGTCAACCTCATATAATTTATTCACTTACAAATTCAACTTTTACGAGAACTGGTATATAATATGTGCAGATTAGTTATTTTACTGGTATATAATATGTGCAAATTAGTTCTTTTACGAGCCTGCCTGCCTCTGTGCAAGAATATACTCTTCTATTTTTTTTTTTTTTTTTTCTAATTTGATGACACTTTCCTGTGAACAAGGCTTAGTATTTATTGACATACTTTTTATACTCTTTTGCTTTTTCCTAGGTTGGCCCTCAAGCAATTTACGTAGTTGGACGGGACGATGATGAATCAATTGCTGCAGAAAGTGAAGCAAGTGATGCTGCTAGTTGGGAAACTGTAGACGATGACAAGGGAGATGCTCCGGAGACTCCTGCAGAGGTTTGTTTTGTTAAGAAAAATGTTACTGATTCGTTTTTCCTGACCAGCACAATCATTTTCTACAAATTCTTGAGAAACGTTTATTTACAGGATCTTGGAAGGGATAGTTTTCTTGAGGAAAACTCTGATGCAGAAAACAATGGTGAGAATGATTCTGGGAGGAATGGTGCCCTAGCTCTCCCACTAGCTGCAGTTGAATTCGTGACTCGAATGGCTAGTGGAATCTTTTCACGTGGACAGAAAACTGAAGATTCTTCTAGTTCTTTACTTGATGATCATAGTTCTCCAAAATTCAGTGCCAGTGATAACTGTGACTCAGAGGAAACAATTATAGAAAACTCTATAGTTTTGGGAAACGAATCATTGCAAAGATCAAAGATTGAAAAATCTGATGAGCTAGTACCTTCTGAAAGTGATAGTTGCAGTTTCAGACGCTTTGATATATCTCAAGATCCTCTGGACCACCATTATCTGGGCGCAGATGAGCAGGTAGGTCAAGGACTTACTTACACTTCAGAGGACTTCCATAAAAAATAGTTTCTTCATGTTAAGTTGAAATTTGAGACTGAGTTTGAATCTTAAAAGTGTTATATCAAACTTGCAGAAAACCAAGGAAAGACGATGGTTCAAAAAGGTTGATCAAGACTGGAAAATACTTCAGAACAATCTTCCGGGTAAGATTGTGTAGCTTGTACAGTTTAAATGTTCAGCAACATTTCATGATTGATAATTCTTATTCAAAAATTGATTTACCTTTGGCAGATGGAATATTTGTTCGAGTTTACGAAGATAGAATGGATCTCTTGAGGGCCGTAATAACCGGGGCATATGGAACACCGTACCAAGATGGTCTTTTCTTTTTTGATTTTCACCTTCCACGTGACTACCCGAATGTGCCACCGGTAAGAGTTTCTAGTTCTTACTATTGCTGTTGTGCACAACCTAAGTGAATCCATTTATGCTTATGCATAGCGTAAAATGATATTCTTCTGTCTGTCATTTCGTTCTGCAGTCAGCTCATTACCATTCTGGTGGTTGGAGGTTGAACCCTAATCTGTATGAAGAAGGAAAGGTCTGTCTTAGCCTTCTTAATACGTGGACAGGCAGAGGAAATGAAGTTTGGGATTCCAACTCATCTAGCATCCTTCAAGTCCTTGTCTCACTCCAAGGATTAGTGCTGAATTCAAAGCCTTATTTCAATGAAGCTGGGTATGATAAGCAGATTGGAACTGCGGAAGGAGAAAAAAATTCACTGGGGTATAATGAGAATGCCTTTTTGCTAAGTTGCAAAACCATGATGTATCTTATGCGAAGACCACCAAAGGTAAGGGAGAACTCTTTTTTCTCTTTCTTTTATTCTATTACACTGATGCATTATCGCCCATCTGTAGGATTTTGAAGAACTCATCAAAGATCATTTCAGAAAACGCGGTTATTACATCTTGAAGGCATGTGACGCCTACATGAAAGGATATCTAATAGGTTCTCTCACCAAAGATGCCTCGGTTATTGATGAGAGCAGCAGTGCTAATTCAAATTCGGTTGGTTTTAAGCTTATGTTGGCTAAGATTATACCAAAGCTTTTCTCAGCGCTGAGTGAGGTAGGAGCTGACTGCAATGAATTCAAACATCTTCAGCAGCAGCAATAACACGAGCCTCAGAGGAGCTGGATAATTGCCAATTAACCAAGTGAAGGTTTGTGGCTTCTTTATTATTACAAGTTTCGAACCAAGTGAAATGCGTGTGTCGAGTTTTGTTTTTCCGTTATACCAGAATTGAATGTTCCGAGTTGTAACCCCATCTGCTCCAGCAATATTGGCGAATGATCTTTTTTGGTGCTTGGCTAAACGTTTTAGGGGTGTAAACTACTACACTGTTTTTTTGTCATGGGTTTTCAAATAACTTCAAACAAAGATTATTTCAAGTGAAGTTGTTTGGCTTTTATATTAATGTTTTATGAGAATCCAGAGCAGTCCTTTGGTAGTGGCTAGTGGCTACATAATTTTTCTCGAACTGTCTTCCTTTTTTATTATTTAAGGAAATGGAAAAGAAGTTTGAAGTCTATTTGCGCAGATATTAATGTTTCTTTCTCTTGTAAAGAACATACATCTTGATGCTCTGGGAACATGTTTCTTATTGGTTTTGGTAATGGTTGATGTGTTGATGGTGGTGATGAAGGTGAGCGTTCTGGTTTATCTGATGATCGTGTAAGTGATGATGATCATCATAGTGTTGATAGTTAACCTCGTTCTTTTCGTTTTGCATGGAACCAGTTGCCATCTGATCATCACGCCATCCTCGAGATGTGTTCCTGGTTATTTCCAGCAACGAGTTCCTCACATGTTCAGCTGGCACCATCGCACTATCATTTTTCTGTAACATGAAGGACAAAAAATAACTATTTAACATGATTACCAAAAAAAGGAACCATATAGAAAAAGAACCATATAGACTTTGTTTGATTTGGTTTTTGTTTCTTCATTAAGCAAGTCCTTGAGATCATACCTCAACTTTAAAGACATTGGAGACAAGGCTAAGGAATCGAGTAGTGTTAGCATTTGTGACCTCAAGTCCAAGAGAATCAAGTGCCTCCATTAAATTTGTGAAGCCTCCAGGTTTGTATTCACAAATCACCTTTACGAAAAACTCTCTGCCATCTAACTGAGCCACGTCCACCTGCGGCTGAAACCCCTCTCACCCAACATAAACCAATATCATGAGCATACAGTGTTAAGAGTTCAATAAAGAAAAGTGAGGTGAGAGAGTTTATGTTTCAACCTCCATTTCTTGTCCTTTGTCATTGGAATTCTCAAGATCAGCATCTTGTTTTAGGTTAGGAACAACATTCTGGTTACACGAAAGGCCCTGCTGAAACCCAGTGACCACTGTCCCGTTCAGACTCATCTCTCCTTGCTGCCTGTTAGATCCATCCTCAGTCTCTGAATTCTCTTCAAGCTCGTCTTGAAGCTCCTTTGCCTCATTCTGCAACTCTTTAACGTAATTGATCGCATCACCAAGAATCGATGCCCTATCCAACTTCATTCCATGCCACAAAAACTAGTTTCAGAAAGACAAAAGACAATAAAACAAGAAACATAACTGCATATACATATACATAAATACCTTGGTTATCCTGGGAACAAGTGACCGGAGAGCATAAAGTCTATCGTTTAGCTTCTTCCTCCTCCGTCTCTCAGCCATTAGGTTCTTAGCTTGAGCATGTTTTCCTGTCTTCTTCTTATACTTTGGATCATCTTCATCATCAATCTGGTCGCTACAATCTGAACCAGTTGCATTCTCATTCAGTTCCTCCTTATCTTTACCAACTTGCTGTTCGTTCACAAGCAAGCTAGGCTCACCCATCACCGACATTTCTTCTTCTGCAGCCGTGTTAAATGGGTTCATGCCCTTGTCACCATTCTCCGGGAAATACCCTAAGTCTTGATGATGATAATCACTCTTCGTCTTTAAGTGTTGTTGTGCCTCGTAATCACTCATCTGAGGCAAGAAGTTGAGCCGGATTTGATCAGCTGAGATATCATATGGCGATGGGAGATTCATTATCTCTTCCTCCTTTGAACCTTTTTGATGGATCTCACCAGGTAACATCCCATACGGCTTGGATTCGACCTCATCCGCTACCATCATGTTGATAGTTACGGTTTTATCCATCAACATGTTGCAATGCCCCATTACAAAGTTCACCACGTTCTGATCTTCAGCTACCTATATATATATATATATATATATTGTCGGGTCTTGGTGTTGTCTTTGTCCTCTGGCTGTTGGGCCAAGAATCCATTAAGCCCATTAGCTACATGGTGAAGTAATGGGCTGGTTCAATAAGTCTTCAGAGTAAAGCCCGGTTTTGCTTTAGGGCTTTCGTCAAAGATCACCTGCGTATATAAGGGAAGTAACCTAGTTACTTGTAATGTACGGGAAACAAAATCAGATTGCAGAGCATCAGATCAGAGGAGATTATCTTGGTTAAAAGATCATCTAAGTCTACCTGAGCAAGCAGCAGTCGGTGGAGAAGAACTAGATTACTGTTCTTAGCTCTAAGCTTTGGTGTAGAAGTGTTAGAGCATACTTCTCTTGTATTACATCTTTTATACTCGAGTTAGTGAATTGGAAGCGTGGTCTTCCCCCAGACGTACCGAAAGGGAACTGGGTCAACAATCTGTGTCTTGTCTTATTGTTCCTGCAAAACAAACATACAAACAAACAAGTCAGTAGATTAAGGTTAATTGATCTATACAGTTAGATAAGTGAAACTAACTGGAGAACTAAGGTTTCAAGGATAACGAATCTGGTACAAAACCTTACAAGTGGTATCAGAGCATCAGGACGAGCTAAAGGAGATCGGTTTCAGGTTTCTATTTGCTTCTGGTGTGTGGTAATCAAATCTTAAGCGGTTGGGATTTTCACGGGTGAGTTGGGAATCATGAAGAGCTCTAAGATTAAGATTGAGGTTGAGAAGTTCGACGGTAAAGGAGACTTCGGTATGTGGAAATTCAAGATGCTTATGCAACTTGAAAATTCGGATCTTGACAGTGTATTGAATGAGGAGGAATCAAGCTCCTCGACTGAAAAAGAAGTAGAAGAACTCGACTCTAAGCCGGGTGACAAATCAAGGGTCCTTACCAAGAAGGAGAAGGACAAGAGGGCTAAGAACATGATATGTGCTAGTCTAAGTAACCTGGTCTTGCGAAAGGTAATGAAGCAAACTACTGCTCTAGGAGTTTGGAAAGCATTGGAGAAGGATTATCAAACAAAGACCCTACCAAATAGGATCTACTTAAAGCAAAGATTTGCAAGCTTCAGAATGGATGAGCATCGAAGTGTGGAAGAAAACTTGGATGTATTTTTGAGATTAGTGGATGATTTGGAGAGTCTCAACATCACAGTTAGTGACGAGGATCAAGCAATACAGGTTCTGTCAAGCTTACCAAAACAATTTGATTCTCTAGTGCATACTCTCAAATACGGCAATGGAAAAGAAACTCTAACCTTACAAGAAGTCACTACATCTGCATATGCCAAAGAAGTCGAGCTAAAAGAAGCAGGACTAATTGGGAAGGCTAAATCAAGTGCAGAAGGGCTGATAGTAGGAAGAGGAAGGTCTGAATCTAAGACTCAAAGCCATTGGAAAGGAAGATCCAAGAGTAAGAACAGTAGGTCGAAGTCAAGACCAAGAGGACCAGGAAAGCCCAGGGAATGTTGGACTTGCGGGAAAGAAGGTCATTACAAGCGAGATTGTCCAGACAAAAGGAACTTGAAAGACAATGAAACCGCTAATCTAGCTCATGACAAAGAGCAACCAATGATCTTAACAGCAAGTATACAAGACCCCATGAAAGAATGGGTAATGGATTCCGGATGTACTTTCCATATTACTCCAGACAGGGAAGTATTATTCGATTTCAAGAAGATAGATGGTGGAAGAGTTTTAATGGGCAATAATACTCAATGTGAAGTGAAGGGCATAGGGAAAATTAAGATCATAAACTCAGACGGAGTCACTGTTATCTTAAGTGATGTCAGATACATGCCGTCTATGGGCAGAAACCTAATCTCATTTGGTCAACTAGAGAAACACGGTTGCAAATATGAAGGTAAAAATTTCACAATTACATTCTATCGAGAAGGAAAGAAGGTCTTATCTGGAAAATATCAAGATGGTCTCTACTACCTACAAGGATCGGTTATTAAAGGTGAAGTAGCTGTAGTAAGAACAGAAATAAATCTTACTAACCGTTGGCACTCAAGATTGGGTCATATGAGCTTGAAGAATATGAATCTCTTGGTCAAAAGGGGTTATTTAAATTCTAAGGAGGTACACACTTTAGATTTCTGTGAAAAGTGTGTCTTTGGAAAAGCTCACAAGCAAAGCTTTCCCGAAGGAAAACACACATCTAGAGAGAAGCTGGAATATATACACAGTGATCTTTGGGGCTCAGTCTCAAATGAACCGAGCTTATCAGGGTGCAGGTATTTTCTTACTTTCATTGACGATTACTCGAGAAAGGTCTGGATCAGATTCCTAAGGAGTAAAGATGAAGTGTATGAAAATTTCTCAGAATGGAAGTCTCTTGTGGAAAATATTACTCAGAAAAGGATGAAATATTTACGTACAGACAATGGTCTGGAGTTTTGTAATGTTAAGATGGATAAGCTATGCATTGACTCTGGTATTAAGAGACATAAGACATGTGCTTATACACCACAACAGAACGGGGTGGCTGAGAGGATGAATCGCACAATAGCTGAGAAGATAAGATGTATGTTGACTGAATCGAAGCTGGAAAAATCGTTTTGGGCAGAAGCAGCTTGCACGGCAGTATATCTAATAAATAGAACACCAAACGCGTCTCTACAGTTTAAGATACCTGAGGAGCTATGGACTGGCACTAAGGTGGATTATAATCATCTAAGACGGTTTGGGTGTGTAGCATACGTCCATACAATCCAAGACAAAATGAGTCCCAGGGCACGTAAAGGGATATTCCTTGGATATCCTCAAGGAGTGAAAGGATATAGGGTGTGGTTACCAGAAGATGGTAAGTGCTCTAACAGTAGGAACGTGGTATTCGATGAAGAAAAATTGTATCATGAAGCGGAACAGGAGGTGGTAAAGACTAAGAAACAGAAGAAGGTAACCTTCAGAACTGAGTTGATACAAGGACCATCAATATATGAAAGCTCTACACAAAACTCTGGTGAAGGTGGAGCTGTTTCAGATGATATCGACTCCACTGGTCTAGGTGGAGATAACACAGAACAAGAAGAGTCTGAAACTTCAAGTGAGTCTGATGGAGAGAATGAATCAGATGGCGTGGATTCTGACCATACAGAGACGGAAAATCTTGATGATTACTTGTTGGCAAGAGATAGAGCACGGAGGACTATCAAACCACCGTCAAGGTATGAGGATGGTGATTCATTCAACGCATATGCACTAGCTTGTGCAGAGATTATAGAACTGGATGAACCTAGATCCGTATCAGAGGCCAAACGGAGTAAGAACTGGAAGAAGTGGAAAGAAGCTATGGTAGAAGAGAAGGTTTCTTTAGACAAAAATGAAACTTTCGACATTGTTCCAAGACCAGATAAGAAACGAATCATTGGTTGCAAGTGGATATATAAATACAAAGAAGGGATTCCTGGTGTAGAGGATCCAAGGTTTAAAGCACGTCTGGTAGCTAAAGGCTATACACAGGTTGAAGGGGTAGATTATAATGAGATATTTGCACCTGTGGTTAAACATGTGTCAATACGGCTCATGCTATCCATTGTAGTGAATCATGACCTGGAATTGGAACAGCTTGACGTCAAAACGGCATTCTTACATGGAGTTCTTGAGGAAGTTATTTATATGGAGCAGCCAGAGGAGTTTGTTGAAAAAGGAAAAGAAAACATGGTATGTCGTCTTAAGAAATCCTTATACGGACTTAAACAGTCCCCGAGGCAATGGAATCAGAAGTTCAATGAGTTCATGAAGTCTCAAGGTTTTAAAAGGTGCTCTAAAGACCCATGTGTCTATACAAAGGGCAAGACGGTGGAAGACATGATCTATCTATTACTATACGTTGACGACATGCTTGTCGCAGCAAAAAGCATGGAGAAGATCAAAATTCTAAAGAAGAGTTTGAACAAGACGTTTGAAATGAAGGATCTCGGTCAAGCATCTCGAATTCTTGGTATGGACATCAAGAGAGATAGAAAGAAGGGAATTCTGAAGCTATCACAAGAGAGGTACATTAAACAAATCCTAAGAACTTTCAACATGGAAGAGAGCAAGCCGGTAGTAACACCAAGCAACTCTCTGTTCAAACTACGAAGTCTAAGACCAGAAGAAATAGAGTCAGAAAGAAGGAAAATGGATACAGTCCCCTATGCAAGCGCAGTAGGGAGCATAATGTACGCCATGGTCGGATCTCGACCTGACTTGGGATATGCAGTGGGATTGGTAAGTAGATTCATGGCAAACCCAGGACGAGATCACTGGGGAGCAGTCAAGTGGATCTTAAGATACCTAAATGGAGCTTCTAGCATTTGTCTAACATTTACAAAGTCAGAGAAATTTGATATCGAAGGTTTTTCAGATTCGGATTACTCTACAGATTTAGACAAAAGAAGATCAGTTTCAGCTTATGCGTTCAAGGTAGGGGGTAATACGGTTAGTTGGAGATCATGCTTACAACAAGTAGTTGCCTTATCTACTACAGAAGCTGAATACATGGCACTATCAGAAGCAACAAAGGAAGGTATCTGGCTAAAAGCAATGTGTGAAGAATTGGGTTTCAAACAAGATTCTTTCAAGTTAAATTGTGACTCTCAGAGCGCTATATGTCTAGCTAAAAACAGTGTGCACCATGACAGAACTAAGCATATTGCAAACAAATATCATTTCATTCGAGATATAATTGAAGAAGGTTCAGTCAAGGTTCAGAAGGTTCATACTACAGAAAATGCAGCAGACATGTTAACTAAGAGTTTACCTGGTAGGAGTTTCGAGAAGTGCCTCGGCCTTCTCAAGGTAATTCGGTAGTTGGCTCGAAGCGTCCGGCAGGTACTTATTTTGTTGATTGAAAGACCTCGCCAAAAAGGGACACAAACAGATACTGAAGAAGTAAGTATCGGTAAATAAAGAAATCAACACAAACAGAGTTTATTCTGAATGGTAAAGTTTGGAAGAAGGTTGATCTGCGGTGAACAGCAGATTAATGGGTATCTAAGAAAATTTATCTACGGTACTTCAGAAGATAAGTGGTTTTCTTATGATTGGGTCTACGGTATACAGAGATCTACTGGTTCTTTCTAAAGTAAGTTATGACTTCACGGTTACCTTTTCTCAACAGTGATGAGGTAAAGTATGAGTCTTGAGACATCCTCGTCAGAACTGCAGATATGACAAGGATACTCAGAGTTAGTAAAATTCGTCAGGTGATAAGAAAAGGACAGACGTTAATTAACATGTTACCAGAGTTCTTGAAGATCGAAGTAATGGAAGGTAGTGAGATTAGTCGACGAATCTCTTATCCATTCTACGGTTATATCCACTGGAAGAGTAAGATCGGGTGTTTGAAGCAAATCAAGATCAGATCTCCGCAGTTGAAAATTCTCGAATTTTAATGGTTGCATGTTCGATTGAAGGAGAGAGATCGAAGTGAAGTGGTTGTTTTTATTGAGAAAGGCGTCAAGGGTTGATCGAAGCTGAATCACGGAGAAAGGAAATGATTCGGAGGAGAGAAGACAGGAATCTGCGCAGAGGGGGAGACAGGAGTATTCTCGAGAGAGATCGGACCAAAGTCAAAGGTGGAGTTTGTCGGGTCTTGGTGTTGTCTTTGTCCTCTGGCTGTTGGGCCAAGAATCCATTAAGCCCATTAGCTACATGGTGAAGTAATGGGCTGGTTCAATAAGTCTTCAGAGTAAAGCCCGGTTTTGCTTTAGGGCTTTCGTCAAAGATCACCTGCGTATATAAGGGAAGTAACCTAGTTACTTGTAATGTACGGGAAACAAAATCAGATTGCAGAGCATCAGATCAGAGGAGATTATCTTGGTTAAAAGATCATCTAAGTCTACCTGAGCAAGCAGCAGTCGGTGGAGAAGAACTAGATTACTGTTCTTAGCTCTAAGCTTTGGTGTAGAAGTGTTAGAGCATACTTCTCTTGTATTACATCTTTTATACTCGAGTTAGTGAATTGGAAGCGTGGTCTTCCCCCAGACGTACCGAAAGGGAACTGGGTCAACAATCTGTGTCTTGTCTTATTGTTCCTGCAAAACAAACATACAAACAAACAAGTCAGTAGATTAAGGTTAATTGATCTATACAGTTAGATAAGTGAAACTAACTGGAGAACTAAGGTTTCAAGGATAACGAATCTGGTACAAAACCTTACATATATATATATATATATATATATATATATATATATATATATATATATATATATATATATATATACGTACATAAATCATGAATCAAGAACCAACACTTGACATCATAATCAAGAGATATTACACATACATGTCTGGTTGCAAAGAGCTCCACTATTCCTCCCGGTATAGGAACCAAAACCCTAGTACATATAGTTTCCTGGATTTTAAAAACAATTATTTTTTTTTAAGCTTTCTTGTTCTCGTAGAGTCAATAATGTGATTGTAATTCTTCAAACTAGAGAAACTGCAAAAAAAAAAAACTAGAGAAACTGGTAACACCTGCATAAAACCTGGTTCTGAGCTCTCACTCAACCAACCGGTCTGGTTAGTCAAAAGAGTCTCCGCATATATCCTACAACAAAATCCCATGTTTCCTTCTCTGTATTATATCATAGGAAACAATATATTTATGAGTGTCAAGTGTACTACATGATCATACCCGGAATCAAGAGGGATGGAAGAAGGAAGATGGGAAAGAAATTCACAAGATTTGGTTCGAGAATGATGAAACATAACATCTCTACAACCTCCGAAGCTAAACTCTTCTGTTCCATTTTCCTCAATGAGTTGTGTCCCACCACAACAACATCCCAGCCACTGCAAGAACCTGTCTCCTCCCAAACCAAAAAGAAACATTGTGACGAAAGACAAACAAGAAATAGATAGATTTATGAATAAATAGAGGGGGATTCTTTAGAACTATACTACCGAAGAATCAAATCAACCTTTGGTCCTCGTTTAGTCTCCAAAGAACACAATAGTCCCAAGCTCTTGCACCCACAAGAGGCCTTAATTTCTCCAACAAGTTTTGCATATTACTCTCTATTTCTCAAAATGTGTACTACACAAAATAAATGTTTGTTATATCACCTATAAAGTTCCAAAATTAGGAAAGTTCCCTTCAAACTTCAATTAATATTGTGCAAACATTTTACTGGTTTTGTTCGTTTACAAAGTGAAATCTGAAATGTCATAAAGAATTAGAAAGACAAAATGTATCATTCACATGATTCCAAACTAAGCATATACAACAAAAATATCATGAAAAAGACAAGCCAACAAGAAACTTACCCAAGATTCTTGAAAGAAAAAAGATTCTTCAAAATCTTGTGACTGTTGAGACTTGACAATATAAATCAAGAACAGCTAAGAGAAGAAGGCAACATATTGTTGCAAGAAAGAAGAAGAAGAAGAGAGATAGAAGCTAATTACATCAGTACAAGGTTTTTCTTTTCGTGTTAAATAACGTCACCAAAACTTGAATATATGTATAGTTCTCAAAAAAACTTGAATATATATGTGAAGATATATGTCTGTATAGTTTTCTTTCTTTTTCTCTTAGGAGAGATTGATTGTGACTTTGGTAGGTAAAGTGCAAGACATGCATGACGATAAATCGATAATATATGTATATGAGATATAATCATATATATAAAATAGATATTGAAAAGATAAACTGGAATGGTGAAAGGCGAAGATTGCATGACCGAAGGTAACGTGTAAAGCCCTAACTACCTTTGTTGAGAGCTTCTCTTCGTTCCGTTTAGGTAATGCATTCTTCTTTCAGCGTCTCAACAACTATTTTTTTGCTTTTCTTTTTTTTTAGATTTAGTTTCTTTGTTTTATAAAAATCTCTAGCAAAACGTAACATAACGTAAATATGTTCTCATATGACTTAAGAGATAACATTTACATAATTAATTGCATTAGACTTATAATGTTATGAGTTGATAATAAAGTGATAAACGTACATGTTTTATGAAAAAAAAATAATCTTATATATAATCATACAACCTTCTGGCACAACCGATAAAATTGGAACGATATATAAGAAATTAGCATGACCTTGTGCAAGAATGATACACAAATGGGAATTAATTTAAAGTCTTAAACTTTGACAAAATGTACATAAATATGTTTAGTTTTAGTGGGCAAAGCTAGATTTGTCTGACATAGACCCAACTGTCCACCTTTTATGAAGCTGAAATCCGATTACGTTACGAACCACTCCCATAGTCCGACGTAAGTTGCTGCGTCTTGATGTCTCTCATCAACAATGAATGGGTTACATAGTTATTTTGTCTGTAAAAATAATCGTGTTTAAATGGTTTATCAATGATCTAATGCTTTTATAGTAGGTTTCACCTTTTCAAGTTAATTACACAGAATACTTTTTCTGTGTATATTTTATAAAGATATTCAAACTTATCTACACAAGTCTGTGGCACAACTGGACCACTACCAGATTAAGTGGGTCAGCTAACACATGTAAATTATCATAAATATTTGTTTTGTACTATAACAGTATAAAATTGGTAGCTTAAAAGGTGGTCGGATTCTTTTTGACACCTCTAAACCCAAGTTCATAATCCATATTGACACTTTTGCTCTACATTTTCTAAAATAGATATATTATGACACATAAACATTATTGTTGGGTCCGCCACTAAGTTGGATGGACCGTGGATCATTGCTAGATATCACAGGAGACACATGATCTAGTGTCTCTGGTCTCCATCTATTTGCTACAGTGGCGGAGTCAATTAAGCGAGACAGGTGGTGGATAGAGCGGATGAGGAGCATGAACCCTATCATTAGCCTCCTCTGCCAATGTATTCCCCTAGCTATCGAAATAGTTAACTCAAAAATAGATGTTTATACCTTTTTAAAGTTAGCGACCCACTGCCTTCAAACTCTTTCAGCACAACCGCTATTTAGGGATCCTTAGTGGATTAGCATAAGGCAGTCTGGTTCACTGTCTCTAGTCCTAAACAATCTTTCAGGAAATGGCTAAGTGCTTGTTTAACTACTCCTAACAGACCAGATTAGGGGGATGGAGCTCATGTATGGTCTTTCTTCTCCTTCAAAGCCTATCTTTCTCCAATTCCTCTCTTTGAGGATTGAATTAGATGGATGACAACCCTAGGAGAGACAAGAACAATTTTCTAGTCATGAAGCTAGCTTTCCAAGCCACTTTCCACTACATTTGGAAAGACCACAACACTTGTCTTCACCCTAGATTATTACAACCTTCAGCTTCTATTATTTCTGACATCAACCCAATTCTTTTTTTTTTGTCAGCATCGACCCAACTCTTAGAAGTAAGTTTTATTCCCTTTCTAGAGCCCATCATAACCTACCATGAACCATCTCTTTTTTTCAACTTTGTTTGAGTTGTTTAATTGATTTGTGAACAATCTTTGTTGGCTGCTTTTGTTTTTCTTATGTTTTTTTTACTATTAGGATACACAGATCGCTTGTGATGTATTCATGCGCTGTAAAAGAAATATTCCATAAAAATATCTCAACTTAATTTCGTTAAAACTTTTTTATACCTATTTTTTTTTTACCAAGTTCAACACATCAAATAAATTTTATTTATTTTAATATACAAATTTTTAAAAATGTCCTATTTTAGTATCTAAATTTTGTTTATTTATTTAAAATACTAATAAATTTCAAACAAAACTTTACCTTTTCTCAAAATTCTTATTTTATTTTGTGTTTGAGAAATAAAATTACATAAATTGTTTATAATGTTAAATTTTTTAATAAAAGTTTTAAGTTTTAAATATTGAATTTAGATTTTTTTCTGAGACAGAAAACATTTTTTCCTTCAGAATTAAAATTTCTAGCGAAATTATTTACCTTCTTTTCTAAATCTTAAAAAATTAGAATTTTTCCTTTTTTTTAGAATTTGGAGATTTTTTAAATTTTGTTTGAAACTTATTATTATCTTTAATAAAATTAAACAAAGTGTGGCTATATAAGAGGGGAAAAGTTTTAAAAGTTTGTGTACTAAAATGAATAAAATAATTAGCATTGGATATTAAAAATCTTAATAAAAATTAGTTAGGTGTTTTTATGGAGCTTTCTTTCTTTTTTAAAACAAGATATTCAAACTTATTGGAGTGTCATGATGCACTTAATATGATCTTTGTTGTGTCTAGGTCTCCCCCTCCTGGACACAACTTGTATAAACGGGACTCACAGATGAATCTCAGTACTGCTAAGTACTCTTCCTTGTTCTTTAGAGTTTCAACCACACCTGCAGAAAAATTCACATTTAAGGATAATCACTCCAAAAAGAGTACTCAAGTAGATATTACCAGAAACACTATGTTCTAACTCCAGAAGCCGAAACAGTCTCGGGGCCTGATAATACAAAAAGAACCGCTCTAAAAGGGTTAAGAGCACTTCACGAGTAATCAAAGAAGCCAAACCATAAGAAGCCATAAGTAACAAGCAACATAACACCCATGAGTCATTGTTTGGACTCATTTTTGCCTTGCTTATCCACTCAATTCCAAGTTGAGTCACTTTCTGATTCACCTCCCGTGTAATAGGTAGCTTCATCTCTATCAGGTTCCCCAACAAAACGATGCAACTTTTAACAAGTCTATCATAAGCTTCACCAAAATCTTTAAAAGACCCTTGTAGAGCATCCAAAACAAGTCCAAACATGGCATCATTCTCGCCAAGGCTTGGTTTATCTTAACCAAGCGTTTGTAGATATTGTAACAATTGAGCACCCTGTGTCATTAGACAAAAGTGTAACCAGTGGCTCAAGTTCACCTCTCAGCTTAATGTGTTCTGTCCCTCTCTCATGAAGTTCCTTCTCCATTGACTTGATTGTCTTTTTAAACCCCTCCAACTCTTCAACCTCTGCCTTCCTTTTCTCCTTCGCTTTCTTGTGTTTCAAGTGAAACTTTGCCTCCTTCTTATCGAACTTGTCCACTTTGACTTTGAATGACTCATAAATCAAAGAATTTCTTTAGCTCACTCTTGGAGAAGGCTTTTGGTGGAATCGAAGTGCGACTCAATCTCCTTCCATTGAACCGGAAGCAGATAAAGAGAATGAGCTTTTTCCTGGAGAGAATCTAGGGTTCGGTGAAAGTTGTGTGTTGCTTAGATCAACAAGCGCTAGTCTACTCGTTGCCTTCTGTCATGGCATTCGTATAAATGTATGTATGTAGATGATGATGAAACGAAGTTAGATAATAGAGTGATTTTGGTAAATATCCCCATATGAGACATAAATTTAGTAGTTGTCCTTGATTAGACTAAATGGGTAAGTATCTATCATTTTGCACCAAAAGTAACGATTTGTCCCTCTGCAAATCAGTGCAGTATGATATTGTGTCAAATTGAATATTTGTAGTTTACTGTATGCAGAAGTAGGACAGTTCATAGGGGGAACTGCACCACAAGATCCTCCGGTTTTTAGGGTGATTGGATACAAAATTTGATGGAGGTGGTTAGTCGCTAACTATATAAGAGGATGAATAACTTTCTTGCTAGTGGAGCTCTATTATCTTTGTTGTTAGAAGAGATCGCTAGGCTTTATAGAGTTATTATCTGTTCAAAGAATCACTCCTTAAAACTATATAATCTCTGATTATAAGCGGCAGCGAAACACCGTCGTAACATGGTCTAATCAAAGTTAAGATCAGAAAAATTAAGGAAATTTCAAATTATCTTGATTTTGATTTTCCTTGAAATGTGATGATTAAAATTTTATTTATCAATTATTTGTTAAACCCAATAAAAGTTGTAATTATAAAATAGACAATTATGTAGAATAAGCATGGCGGCAATAGATTACAGTTTTATCACAAATATGAAGACGAAGACAAACTGTAATTTTATCTTTATTAATTAAAAATTTAAAAACTGATGAAGCACCACCTGAATCTTTTATGCGACAAAACTATGAAATTTTAAAATTTATCAAAATAAATCCCTAATTAATCGTGGATTAATCTCCGATTTGTTGATCATTAATCTAATCGACACTATACTTGTCAAGCGCGTTTGCACATTTTCGTTAATCCATGAACATGATCTATATAGACACATAGATCCGTGGATCCATACCTATTACATTTCGTATCAAACCATGGCTCACATTAAGATGTAATCATTGTTGTATATGGGCATACATTTAAAACACTATGCTTCATAACCATATTGTTTAATGTCTTAATGACTATGTTTTGTTATAAACGAGTAACGAGCTATTTAACATCACTACATAGTTGGTTAGTCGTTACAAATACAAGGTTAATTTTCATGTTAGCAGGATACATCAAATGGTAACGGTCCTTGATAATGCTAACGGTGATTTAATTAACTGTTCTTTGGAAAATGAAAGATTAAATTAGTACAGTTTAGCATAAAGCATTGATATAATGGATTGATAACATATATTTTTTGATAACAAACAAATTATCTAATGTACATCTTAGGAGATAAGTATAAACTTAACGACCAAGACTAACGTCAGCGTATAATTTTATTGGATAGGTTGGTAAAATACAGTAACCGAATATATATATATATGTAATGTTATTAACATTACGGTGAGAATCTATAAGTTAATGTATATGTTTTAGTGGAATAGACATATACAGTTAACTGTACCCTCAGTCTTTAACCAACATGACTAAAAAATTTTAAAATACATACACAAATGTATGTTTTAGCAGAGGAAAACACATTTAACAGCTAACATTTTGGTAAAATATACATGTGTGTGGTTGGAAAAGAATTATATAGCTAAAACTAAGTTACATTTTCAAGCCATACGTTTACATGTAATGAGTTTTCTTGACTTGTTTCCTCTTTCTCTTCTTGTCTCGGAATTTTCCAGCTATTTCCATCGGAGTCTAACTTTCTTCCCTACATCTCTAAGTTGTGAAAAAGAAACTGGTGAAGAAAATAATACTTTTGGGCTTAAGACTGTAAAAAGAGCAAGATTATTTGATCTAATTTTTACATAATAGAATATTTTTGTAGTTTAGTCCATAGGTCAGGAAGAAAAGAAATAAAAGATACCACAAAGTTTCCCATATATTTCATGAATGTTGTTCTTTGTTGTTGCTGGACTCGTGAAGATGTATGGTGCAGACGAAGCTGAAGTAGTTTAAAGACGGAGCTGAAGTAGTTCATGAAGCATGACATGAACTACTGAATGAAATGCAGAGTCGAGAGCTGAGCAAGAAAAAGGAAGGAGCCTTTAGTAACGATGTGAAGATATTTATCAAGGCGTGGCCGTTAAGAAAAAGGAGTGAAGAATAAGCAACCGTTGAAGAAAAGAAGAAGGTTGTCTTATTCACTGAAACAGAAAATGGAAAGTTTCCATTGGGTAGTTTTAGGGTTTTCTCTCTAGATATAAAGAGAGAGTCGACGGGGTTGTCGTCGGCTAACACAGTGGGTGATATTCTAGCAAGTTTGAGTTTTGTGAAACCGAGCAAGGTAGGCAAAATACTTTAAGAGTTAGAAGCAATTCATCGACTAGGGTAAGTCGTGAATTGATTGGACTAGTCAACAAGTCAAGTTGTTCGTGAGCTTTGTTGAGAATTGCTTTTCAAAAGAATTTGTATGTGCTTTTAAAAGGATTTATCTAGTCGTATTTTTCTTGGAAAAGATAACTCTTGGATTACTGTGTGTTCTAGTTTCTGTACTACTAATCTTGCGCTTTCAATTGGTATCAGAGCGGGTACTTGTGTTTTTCTTAAACAGGTAAGGATCATGCGGAATGGACAACTTCAAAGAGTTGGTGGCGCACTCTAAGGTGATCTTGGAAGTAGGAAACTATGGGTTCTGGAAAGCCAGAATGAAGGCGACGATCAAAGGTATTGATCCACTTGCATGGAAGGCAGTTGAGTCTGGTTGGAAGCATCCTGTTGCGAGAGAGAAGATGGTAAAGATGTACCAAAACCCGAAGAACTGTGGACTGGAGATGAGAACAAGTTTGCCAAGTTCAATGCAAGAGCACTCACGGCCATCCACTGCAGTGTTGCGAGGAAACAGTTTGAGTTGATTCAGGGATGTGAGTCAGCAAAAGAAGCATGGGATATTCTTCAGAAGCACTTTGAGGGAACTATGAAAGTGCTAAGCTCAAGAAGAGACATGCTGGATACTCACTTTGAAGATCTGAAGATGGACGAGAATGAATCAATTGCTGATTTCAGTTCCAAGCTAAGCTCATTGTCCCAAGAAGCACTCACACTCGGGAAAAAATACAAAGAAAAGAAACTGGTGAAGAAGTTCTTGAGGTGCCTTCCTGAAAGGTTCAGAGGTCACAAATCAGCCATGGAGGTAGCTCTCAACACTGATGACATAAGCTTCGATGAGGTAGTGGGTATGATGCAAGCTCATGAGATGGAGTTAGACAGTGGAAAGAAGGTTAAGGGAATTGCACTAGCATCGCTTGAAAATGATGAAGCAGGTGATGATCCATTAAGCCTACTTGTGAGGAGATTTGATAGAGCGCTCAGAAAAGTGGAACAAGG